ATTTCATTGCTTTGTTCAGTGCTGTTAATTCTTAGAGCAAATTAAATTTCTGAACATGGGCAGAGACCTGGGCATAGTTTGGAACTCCCTGCATTTCCTTTAAATCCTTCTTGTTAGGGTAAGAAGTGCTGAAAGTTTTCTTTGTTGAGATTATTTGCTTGTTAATTTGTATGAGGATTTTCGAAAGATGTATGGTGGCTGGGACTGATAGAGAGCATGCTGGTTTATAATGAACACACTTCTGTTGCCTGAAGTGTGTTTCTCACCTTTTGACCCTGGGGTTTTGGATTTCAGATCCTAGAATTCTAAGTTGTTGGTTATGCTGGCTGGGTCTTTTGAAAATATAACTCTCTCCAGAATATCCAAAGGAGCAAAAATTGAGAAACAGTAACCTGACATTAAATGCCAAACATTAGCTGCAGCATTTCCACATACAAAATAATTTTGGGCCAAATGAGAGCTGACATGTATGCGAGTATACGGGAATATTTGTGCATAAAACCATAGTTTGGCATTTAATCATTTCAGCATATCTTGGAGTTTTCTATACTAGGCTACTATTTCAGTATGTGATAGACTTGAATTATGTTCTCTGTCTGGTTATTTTAGCCTGACGTCTGGGCTTCAGGCGCCTGGAAATACAGTATTTCCAGGACTCCTCTCTCTTCCTGGCATCCCTGGACTTGCCCAAAATGCTACACAGTCTTCCTTACAAGAACTTCAGCAAAGTGCAGCTGCACAATCAGCATTACTACAGGTAAGTACAGTATATGTAGGGGCGAGGTCAGTGTTTTATGAATTAGTAACGATCAACAGGGAACCAATGAGAACTCCCCACTAAAAGTTCCTGCTTAGTGAGAATCCACATAAATGTTTGCAGAGCATATATCTCTGTAGGATGATATCTGCAAGTATTCATTTCTGAATGTTCCATTATGCATTTCGTAATAGGTTCACTAAAGATGGGGAAATTAAGCTTGTTTTGTATCAATAGGCAGTTGAAGGACATGGATTATTACTGAAATTTGAAGTTTCAGAATATAACAGTGCCATCCAAATCTCACTGAAGCCTTTAATAAAGGTGTGGGGAAACTTTGGCTCCACATATGTTTGGGACTACAGCTCCCACAGACAAGAAGCGGGGGGGGGGGAGACACTTTTTGAAAAAGCCAGCAGTGCAGAGGCTGTGATCTTTATAAATACGCATTTGTGGAATCCTGTGTGTTTTTGTAAAGTTTGATTCAGCTTGTTAAGTCTGGGGGGGAAGCTCTTATTAGGATATCTCTTCCTCATCACAGTAAACTGCAGCACACGGTGTCCCCGTGAGCTTTGATACTCACCTTACTGTTCTGTTCCCTGAAGCAAAATATTGGGCAGAAGGTTAAGCTTCAGCAAAAGTCACTGGGTTTATTTAGAAAAAGATTTGATTGAGAAGCCTGTGTCTCAAGGCCTGAGCACATGTCAGAGAGAGGTGTTAACAACTTGAGGGTTAACTGAGACTGAGGACTGAGAGGAGGAGACAGGAGAAGGTGAATCTGTAATTCTTTAGGAGGGGCAATAGAACAGTGAAAGATAGCCAGTGAAAGGGATAGTCACAACAACCAACTCTTGCTTGCAGAATGCCCCTATTGGGTGTCCACAGGGAGAGGTGATGTTCTGGAAGTTGTGTAGTTGCATGACTGTTTCAGTGGTATGGAACCCAGCATCACTTTTATAAGTGTATTCTGTTTTTAAATTCAAGTTTCTAGTTCTTACAGTTATATAGCGAATATGGTGACAGAACCTCTGGTGCTCAGAGATAAATCCCCATTGACTTTGATTTCAATCCAGCATAATGCTTATCTCAATATGACTCCTGCTGAAAAAAATGTTCCTTGCCAACAGTTGATAAAATTCTGCATTATAAACATCAGATAGAGAACAAAGGTTTGAAAGTGGGCAAATGCAATCTTTCGAGGTGTTTGGCAAATCTGGGTTTCCATTGTTATCAGATCGCCATTTTGGAGCAGTTATGGTGTCTGCTTGCAGCCTTCTTGTTAAGCTTTGTGTTTACTTTTCCATCAAAGGCACACTCAGCTTCTGCTCTGGAGAACTACACATCTCAGCCTGATGGCTTTACCACATATCCTCCAGCACCAGGAACACCTGGAACACCCTTTTCGTTACAGGCGAGTCTTCCTCAGAGTGGATGGCAATAAGTGACAACATCCTTTCACATTAACAAAGAGAGAAATCTTTTCTTGAAGAATGCTGTGATAGATTTGCAAACCTACTAGTAAACCTTCTATTGAAGGTTTGGCAAAATGTATTGGATTAAATGTGTAGCACTCAAAAGGAAGAGAAGAGGGATTCTGGACAACTATTTCTGACAGGCCGCAAAAACCATGGATTTTTTTAAAAAACTTAATCAATACCCTTAATGAAACATTAAGCCTTCTCAGTCCCTTTATGTTGAAGAAATTTGAGGTACATGGAGTTTTATGCATCTTTTACATTAAAATCTTTTTTAAATCAGATTTTGCTGGGGCACCATTGCCCCATGCGCTGTTCAGGATTTTGTCACTTGTGTTTTTGGTATGTGTAGATATAAAAAGAAATATAAATCAGGACTATTAAACTGAGTATTCTTCTTCTATCCCTCTTTCAGTGGTTTAAACCCAGAGGTCCCCAACCCCCGGTCCACAACCTGGTAGCGGTCCACGACCTATCCAGGACCGGACTGCGGACACAGATCTCCTACCCCCCCCCGCAAGCGCTGTCGTGTGCAAGCGCATTCCGCCTCCTATGAGTGCAACATGTGCATGCACACAAGCGCGTTCCGCCCCCTGGGAGTGTGCTCTGCACATGTGCAAGAGCGCCTCCCCACAAGTGTGATGTTCACATGTAAGCGAGCTCCATCTCCCTGTGAGTGTGCCACACACACACCCAAACGGTCTGCGATTGGGACAAGGTTGGGGACCACTGGTTTAGACCTTATGTTTCTGTTTCCTTTTATCAAAGATGGATAAGTGGTTTGGGAAGCTCCCTGTCTTTTGGTGGGGTGACTTTCACCACAAAGAGTGTGGTCTGCAGCGTGGGGGTCCATCTTGATGCAGTGCTTACCATGGAGTCCCAGGTAGGGTCTGTGGTCTGCACAGCCCATCTGCATCTTCGGCGGATTGCCCAGCTGCGCTCCTGTCTTGATGTTGAGGCGCTCACCACTCTGGTCCATGTGCTCGTAGTCTCAAGATTAAACTACTGTAATGTGCTGTACGTGGGGCTGCCCTTGAGATTGATGCAGAAACTACAAATGTAGACATGGTCTAGAGGGGGTGTGTGAAATTTAAATAAATAAATAAATAAATAAACAAACAAATAAATAAATAAATAAATAAATAAATGGTCCAGAATATGGCTGCCAGACTATTAACTGAGAGGAAAAAAAATCACATTTTCCCCAACACTGGTTGCCCATTCGTTTCTGCATTGACTTAAGGTATTAATACTTACATATAAAACCCTAAACAGTTTAGGACCTTGATACCTGGCAGAGCGCCTGCTTCCACCTAGCTCTATTCATGTAACTAGATCTAGCCAGGTTGGGGGGCTTGACCCTGAGAGAAGCCTGGAAGGAGAGAACTAGAAACCAGGCCTTCTCTGGGTGGCCCCTCGCCTCTGGAACATCTTGCCTCCTGAGATTTGCCTGGCACCCTCAGTGGGAGTTTTAAAAAACAAGCTGAAGATTTGGTTCTTCAGGCAGGCCTCCCCCCCCCCTTTAATCATTTAGTTCCTTGTGTTTTTCCATCTTGGACTTTGCTTCCTTTTTTGTTTATTTGTTTGGATATTGTCTGTTTTAATTCTTGTTTTATATTGCTTGGACTGTAAGCCGCCCAGTGTACATTCATTTGAATCTAGATGGCTGGGGTAAAAGACAAACAAACAAACAAACAAATAAATAAGAATACTCTCCAAAACCTCCTGCCTTGTTATATAGGATCAGCCCTATATGACATCCTCTATCCATCTCTTGTATTTCACTGCCTTTCCTAGCCATTTCTGTTTAGGTATTTTTCATTGAATTTTGTAGTATTTGTCACTTTATCCATGTTTAGAGCTGTATATGCCCTCCCTTGCTTCAGCATTTCTTCACTTTTCTAAAATGTCAGGAACCTTTTTACATATGAGTGGTATTTAAAAAAAAAACCTTGTGTAAGTCCAGATTGAGTACACCATTCCTTTAGGTTGTTGCCAATTGTATTTCAGAGATCATGGTTTGTATTCTGAAATTAACATTTTTTTTATTTACAAACAAACCATTGTTTTAAAAAAATGGCTCCAGTACATCAAATATGAGAGATGAAATGCTGCCCATTATGTCAAAGACCTGCTGATTTTATCAGCCAGGTACTTGTTTTCCTTGGGAATTTCCTTGGGAGCTAATACAATAATGCTATATTGTGGTTAGATAAGAATGAATTCTGAATATTCAGTTATAAACCTTTGTTATACCTGCATAATGTATAAATACTGTGTAGGTGTAATAATAATAATAATTATGTGCTGTCAAGTCAATTCTGACTTATGGCAACCCCTTTCAGGGTTTTCTAGGTAGAGAATACTCAGAAGTGGTTTACCTTTCCCTTCTTCTGGGGGCACCCTGGGATTGTGCAGCATGCCCAAGGCTACACAGGCTGACTCTTCTCATAGGAGGCACACTTAAGAATCAGCATCCCAACCTCTGGCTCCACAGCCAGAGACCTAACTCACTTCTAGCCAACCAATGAGGTATATCATATATAAATAATGTTATATATGATAGACCTACGTCAAGCTAAGAATTGGGTTTTGGTACCTTGCTCTTCTCCACAAATCTAATACACAGAACACACTATAATACAAAGATTTTAAAAACAATTTGTTACTCTAGCTAGGAATTATGCAATACAAAATATGCTCTTGCTGTGTTAATGAAGTGCTCTATACTGTTTAGTATATTTAGTGTTGAATAGGGGGAACTCCCATATTAAAACTCTTTTTTAAAAAAAAGTCTTCATCTTGTTCTAGATCTACAGTAAGTGTATGATACTTGATTTTGTGGTTTTTAATGTGAACTCTTATTTGTTGCAGTGCATAGCTTTCCCCCTAAAGATGGGACTTTATTGAATAGTATTACTAATGTAGAAACTTTTCAGAAATGAACAGGCATGAAGAACACTAATCTGTATATATCTGTATTTTTATAAAGTTTTTTAAAATAAAATGTGTAGCAGTGGTACACAGGTTTCTACAGCAGACATGAATAAACAGTTATTTACAAAACTTCTGCTTCTTGCAGACAAATGTATGTATAGTGAATCAATTTAAGGAGAAAATACGTTTAAGGCAACAGGACCTTGTAAAATACTGATATTTGACAACTTAAAAAGAGCTGCCTGAAATAATCTTGGACCTTGGAGCGCTTTTACATACTCTGAGAAGGAAAGTGACTAAAAAGCTGGAGCAAATCAACCATTGTTGGATGGGCTGAATAATCAGAACTCAGATTTCCAATAGAGTGAAAGTAGCTTTACTGGTTTATGATACAAAATGTTCTTCATTTTGATAGACACTTTTAATTTCACTTATTAGGTTGAGCAGGGCTATGTAACTCATTTTGAGGAATATTCATGCCCTCTGTATTAAAGAGACATTAAAGTATGTGATGTGCAGGCCCTGATTACTAGAAGACTCATCTGAACTACATTTCTTAGGGGCATACTGCTGATCCGCACTATCTTTCTGGATGCTTAGTAGGAATTATATAATACAGTACTTGTTAAAGCTGAAAATTGAAGATGCCTGCACTATCTTTCTGGATGCTTAGCAGGAATTATACAATACTTGTTAAAGCTGAAAATTGAAGATGCCTACATTTATCCACAAGTACTGTGGGCAACAAAGTGTAATCCTAGATCTGTGGCCCCCGCAAAAAAGGATCCATCTCCTAGAATTGAGCAGATCAGCCATGATGGGTTTCCATGACGAGCCTTATACAATTGTACACCAGGTTGGGGAATATTAAAATCTTTGAGGTATTGTTTGGATCAATAAAATAAAAAACTTGAAGTAATATTAAGCCAGCAGTACAAAAGTAGTTTTGTGGAGAGGGACTTTATTTATTTAAAATATTCCTATGCCACCTTTCTCCCCAAAATACCCAAGGCGGCTTACATTACTAAAAGAGTATTAAGTTAAAACCAGTAAGTATGCAAATATTTAAATAGAATTAAACAAGTATTATATTAAAGTGGGAAAAAGGGATACCTTGGAGAAGGAAGCTAGTGTTTCTGGCGTCTATCTGCCAGCCTAATTGATTGTGCAGATAGCTAACACATGCACACCTATTTCTGCCTGTTGTTGCTGCCTGTGCTTCTCCACACATTGATGTGAGAAGCACCCCAAGCTGCAACTATGGTCTATCCAAGACAGCTGGTTTGCTCTCTGGAATCTCTGACTTGGATGGATAATGTCTGTGTAGACCAGTGTATACTCCAGATATCTGATAAAAGAGCTCCACAGCATTCCCAGGATTCAGAGATTAAAAATTCTTGTGAGATTGACCCTTCAGGGAAGACTAGAACCAGTGTAGCATCAGTCGTCCTAGGCAAAACCCTGACAAGTAGCACAGAATGCTACCATGGTCAACAGTATCAAATGCTGCTCTGGTTCAGTAGAACGGAGATGGTTGGAGTCCTTGTTCACTAGTGTTATGTCCTCCACCAAGGTTAGTAATGTTGCTTCTGTGTTATATTGAGACCACAATTAGACTGAATCCAAATAATCCAATGTTAGGGCTATCAAGTCATTCCCAGCATATCAGTGGCTTTAAAAGGTCCAATCATTAAAAGCCCTGCTTAGATCTTACAGATGGTCTACTGTGGTTTCCTTTATTAAATCAATATACATCATGTTTTGAAAGCCAATGTGGTCTAAATAGAGACAGACAGACAAACTAGAACTCAGGAGATGTGGTTCAAATCTCCGTTTCGCCATGGAAACTCATAGGGGTTGGAGGTGGCGCACTAATAAAACCACTTCTTAAATATCTCGCATTCCTTGAAAACCCTGTGAAGGTCACCATAACTGGGATGTGACTTACCAGCATATAGCACACACATCTCAACAAGTCTTCATTGTTTATTACTCCAGTTTCAATCTATCAGAGGCTTCCAACAATTCATTTCTCATAGTTACAGGATTGTGGCTGCTGCATCTTCTCCAACAGCTATGAGTGCTGAATGCCTCAGAGGGCAGAAAGAAATGTCAGAAATGCATGAAAGTGTCAGCATGTTTTTCCTTTTGTACTTGTATAGCAAACAAGAGATGTGCATCGGACTTATCCATGATAAACAGGTAGGTGTCTCCAAGCATCATCAAAGCTGTACGGAATCTCAAGTGCGTTGGTGAGCCTTTTACTTTGGGTTTATCGGAGTGCCAATGATTCACAAGCATTTGGAGTAATTGAATTAAATCCCCTGCTTTGATAGAAAACTGGGTATTATTGGCACCTTGCTATCCCTACCTGCCCTGTCTTTTGCTGACTGGAAGGGAAGTGTCCAGGCTGTAGTCTCTGGATACGTTAAAGGAAAGGGTCTATCACTGGAATTTATGTTAATATCATTTAATTTAAAGGTGAATTCAATTTGTAGATTGATCGAAAGTTAATAAAAATATATATTTCATCTTTTTCCTCCAGAGGGTCATTTCTTAATTAAATCCAGTGTCCTGGATTTAGTAGCAGGGAAATAGAGCCAGATGTGATCAGATGACAAAAAAAAAACCTGGGTTCCTACAGCTTTAACGAGCTTTTAACATAACATTCCCGTTTCTATAGCACTGAGCCACGCATGCGCCTCGGTCTCATGCACGCTTAGAGAGCGACGCAGGTTTGATACCAGGGCAGCCTGGGATTCGTGTGCGCCTGCGCACAGGTTGAGCATCTAGGGTAGCGGCGAGAGTGCTCTCGACGCGTCACTGTGCGCAGGCGCTTTGGAGCCGCCGGCGCCGCGCGTGGGTAGGCGCGACGAGGGTGGGATACAAAGGGTGAGATGGACTCGGCGGTGGAGGAGTTGATGCCGCGGCTCCTGCCTGTGGAGGATTGCGACCTCACGGAAGATTTTGACCCCACCGTGCCCCCCAGAACGCCCCAGGAGTACTTGAAGCGGGTCCAGTAAGTGGGCTGTGGAAGGAAACGCGAGGTCCCCCCCCCCCCCCCCGTGAAGACGGAGGCGACGGGGGTTGGCCCGGGAGACCCCACCGGAGGAGGGCGGGCAGGGTTCCCCGCGGGGAGCGGTGGGGGTGTCTGCAAGGCGGGGAGGGGGCGTCTCGGAAAGGCTTGGCGCCTGTTTTCGTTTCTTGTCCAAAAGACGAACAGCAGATCAAGACTGTGACGAATGTCTCTCGTCGTTCTCTGCCCCACCTACAGATAATTAGTAATAATTTTAAAAGCCTTAATAGTGGCCTTGTTGACAGATAATTTAAAAACGAGCGGGAAGACTTTTCGATAAACTCGTTATTTTCCCAGGCAAAAGAAACAAAACAAGAAAAAGACAAAAACGTGGCACCTTAAAACCTAACCATTATATATTTTATTGGGAGCTTTCGTGGACTGGTCTGCTTTGTCAGACACGAAGACACATCACTGAGCGGACATGAGTGTAGTATATAGCTGGGACTTAAAATTTGCTCACAATTTGCACAGAGATACCCAGTGTGGTATATAGTGGACAGAGTGACTGACTAGGATTTGGGATGCTTGGATTCAAATAAGAGCACAGTCATTTCTCTTTCTGGCCCAAATGGGACTTTGCTCTATTAGACTAAATAAAAACAGTAAAGTTGTGGTAACAAATTGTGTCGAATTAGCCAGTTGCATGTCAGTCACACAGCTGAGTGTGTGAACTGGTATGCCTTCTGTATCTTGCTAATCAGTTGCAGTTTGACACAAAAATTCAGACTCTGGACTAAAATTCTAATAGGATTCTGTGCATTGTGTAGGATGTTATTTCAGGAAATTTCATGGTCTTCTGTGTAAGATGCTGCCTTTTTATATATATATGCTTCTATATCCACTCTTATGGTATGAACAATTCAAGACTGTAATGAAAATGAAAACAACAATTGGGTCATGTGGCAGTTTAAAGATTGTTGTTGTTATATGCCATCAAGTCACCCTTAACTTATAGCGAGCCTTTGAATGATCAATCTCCAAATGACTTGTCCTTAACTGTCCTGCTCAATTCTTGCAAACCAAAGCCTGTGACTGCCTTTAGGGAGTCATTCCACCTTGTATTTGGCCCATCTTGTATTTGGTCTTCATCCTTTCCCGTTATGACTTCTGTTTCCAGAGAATCCTATCTGTTCATAATGTGCTCAGAGTAGGACAGCCTCAGTTTCATCATTTCTACTCCCAGAAATATTTCAAACTTGATTTGATTTAGACCCTACTTGTTTGTCTTTCTGTCAGTCCAGGGTACCACATTTCAAACCAATCTTTTTTTCCCCCATCAACTTTCTTTACTGTTCAGCTTTCACACTGATACACGGTGACTGGAAAAATGATAGTATGGATGATCTTGGCCTTCCTCTCCAGTGGCACACACTTAAACTTTTCTAGTTCCTTCATTTCTGCCCTTCCAAGTCTTACTCTTCTTCTGATTTTTTGGCTGCATTCTCTATTTGAATTGATGATTGAAGCAAGGTATACAAAACCTTTCACTATTTCAATTTCTTAACTGTCAATTTTAAAGTTCTGTCATTCTTCCGTAGTCCTGATTTTTGTCATCTTAATGTTCAGCTGCTACCCTGTTCAGGCATTTTCTTCTTTCAATTTTCCTTAAAGTCATTTTCAAGTCATTGCTGCTTTCTGCCAGAAAGATGGTGTCATCTTCATTTCTTAAATTATTGATGTTTCTTCCACCAATTTTCACTCCTTCATCTGAATCTAGTCTGTCTTTCCATATGATATGTTCTGTGTATAGATTGAAAAGGTAAGGGAATAAAATGCACCCTTGTCTGAACTTTCCTTATAGGAAACCATTCTGCCTCTCCATAATCTGTCGTAATGGAAGCTTCTTGTCCATAGTACAACTTACACATCGGGACAATCAAACACTAAGGCACACCATAGTTTCCCATGATCCGCACAGTCAGAGGCTTTGTTGTAGTCTATAAAGCATAGAGTGGTGTTCTTCTGAAACTATTTGGTGTGCTCCAGTAGCCAGTGGATAAAACTTGAAAATGTTCTTAGGCATAAGCTTTGGTGAAATACTGCCTACTTCATCAGATGCATCTGTAATTCCAGAAAATTTATACCAAGTAATATTTATTTATTTATTTATTGAACTTATTTAATATATGCCGTCCCCACTACCCAAAGGTCTCTGGGGGGCTTACAACAATTTGAATACAATAAAAAGATAAAACAATTAAAATTAAAAATAAAATGCATTCATCTAGAAAAGTAAAAATAAATTTTAAAAGGAATGTGCCACCTGTAAAAATTGACACATTTATATCACGGGTGAGCTTTTGTGGATTAAAATCTAGGAAAAGCCACACTGAAATATATTTCTTAGTGTTTAAAGTGCCAAACTACTTTTATTTCAGCATGTTTTTTCAGGAAGAGAAATTGCTACCTCTCTGAAAACTGCTGCATCTTTAATATATCACTGTCGTTTTGGTTGTGTGTGTGTGTGTGTGTGTGTGTGTTTGCAACAGACTAACATAGTTATCCCTTCAAGAAAAGGAAAATAAAGTCTGCTTCTGAATCTGCCTGAGCTGTTCTTTCTTCTTAGTTCCCTTGAGATCCTTAATTTTCTTAGTTGTTATTTTTACTATCTGGTGGTCTACTGAGTCTCTGTCATAAAATAAGGGATATAGAACAGGCAAGGTTAAATTGGCCAAAAGGAATAAAATGGGATGCAAGGGCACTTGATCCCACCCCCTTCTTTTTATTCACCCTGTATCTCAGTTATACGCAATGTGATGTGGTGCATAGAGTTACAGACTAGGACTTAGGAGTACTGAGTTTGAATTCCTATAAACTCATGAGGAGCAGGGGGCCCTACTGAAACCACTCCTTAAATGCCTTACTTACCTTGACAACCTCATTAGGGTCACAATAAATCAGCTGGAATTTGATAATACATAATACACGTAGCACTCAATCTAAATAAATCAGAACTTTAAAAATGGGACAGTGATATGATTTGAAGGAACCTCGTTGTCTATACCAGCGGCCCCCAACCTTTTTGAGTCCGCAGACCAGTTGGGAGGGCGGACTCCATGCATGGGGGCACCACCGCACTCATGGGGGGGCTGCGCATGCACGCGAGTGCAACACGCCCAGTGGGCAGGGGGCAGAGATCCGTCTCCACGGACCAGTTCTGGCAAGCCCGGGCTGCAGGCCAGGGGTTGGGGATCCCTGGTCTATACAATTCATGAATAGGGAGACATTCAATATCTTAACCAGTCTTGCAGTCTTCTTTTTAATTATTGCTGGAAAGCGTCATGGTTGGTGACAAACTCATGAAACGAAAGACCAGGAGTAGATTTTCACAAGGAAGTTTTTCTGCTTTTGGTTCTGGCACCGAACAAAAAATCCAGAGTTGAACGTACATTCAGAAGCACCCTGTTCCTTAATTCATAGTGTATGTTTAATTGCCTGTACTGTACCCCTATTTTGCATCTGGCTAATAGATTTCAGTTTCTGTTGTTGTTTTAAAAAGAGTCTAGCATATCTGAAGTTTGTCTATCCTGACAAAATCCCAATCTGCATGAACTGGACAGTGCCAAGCTAAATCGAGCCCACAGAGTGCTTGACAAAAGTCTGCTGTGCCATCTTTTGAAAGTTCCAGAGTGCTTCCAGGCAGATGGTTCAAATACAGAGGATAATAGAGAACAGAAACTAAATGACAACATGTGCACTATATGTTTTTTGTTTTATATGTGGACAAATTGGTAGTACATATTTAATATAATTTGAGGTATGTTGTTTTTGTAGTATTGTTAAAAACCCTTTGATGGTTATTGTATCCCAATGCTGTCAGTAAAGAGGCATTGTACAGTTCTTCTGTTTTTCCTCCTGTGGATGGCAGACACATAATTATGTATGTCTGAGGAGGACATGCGAGGATACATTTCTCCCAGGGATTCCAATTTTTTTATTTAAGAACATAAGAAGAGTCTTGATGGATCAGGCCAAGGGCCCATCTAGTCCAGCTTTCTGTATCTCACAGTGGCTCCACCAGATGCCTCTGGGAGCACATGAGATGACGAGATATCTGTCTCCTGATACCCCTCCGATGCAACTGGCTTTTTGAGGTACAGTACCTTCCTTTGAAGCCTGGAGATTATATATCCCCATCATGGCTTGTAACCTGTAATTGACCTTCGCTCCAGAAATCTGTCCAATCCCCTTTTAAAGGCATCTTAGGCCAGGTCCCATCACTACATTTTGTGGCAAGGGGTTCCACAGACTAGCAACATGCTGGCTAAAGAAATATTTTATTTTGTTTGTTCTCACTCTCTCAACACTCAATTGGAGTGGATGTCCCCTGGTTCTGGTATTGCGTGAGAGGGAAAAGAGCTTCTCTCTATCCACTTTATCCATTTCAATGCACACAGGCAGATGTACATGTTTATAGTGGCATCTGATGTGTACAAAGGATACTTTAAAAATCCAGCATAATGCCCCTCAAAAAAAAAACCCCAAATGGTGCAGATGTTCTTACACATGAGGGTTACAAATTGGAAAGTGATATCTCAACCCACCCCCTACAATGCCATGAATGGGAAAGAGCAATTGCTTGTCTGGAAGCACCTCCCAGCTAGAGGGTGGAACCAAGAATCTTTTCATGTCTCTTTTGGAACTCTTGCTTATCCCTATAGTACCCTTTTGTAGAAGTAGGAATATGTTCCAAATTCTAGAGATTTGTTTTTGTTTTGTAGGATTGAAGCTGCAAAGTGCCCTGATGTTGTTGTAGCCCAGATAGATCCCAAGAAACTGAAAAAGAAGCAGACTGTGAATATTTCAGTAAGTTGCTTTTTTACAAGATGTGCATCCATTAATGCCTTCAAGTAAGTTCAGAAAAGAGGGAGAAGCACATGAGTCTTGCTTGTCCTTTTGTTCAGTTTTAAGACTAGACTGCTGATGCAACCTATCTGGATTGAGTAAGGAACTGGAGGAATTGCAAATCACAAAACTGAATGCTTTGTACAGTCTTTGTGGATGGTGTCTGAGAAGAGAGCTTGAAATGGCAATGCTGGGGCCAGGGGTTGGACAATTCTGAATTCTTTTGTCTTCATAGCTTTCAGGATGCCAGCCTGCCCCTGAAGGCTACTCTCCAACTATGAAGTGGCAACGACAACAAGTGGCCCACTTTTCAGCCATTCGCCAGGTACAATTTCAGTTGTCTTCTATGATATTTTTCCTGTTTTTGTTTTGTTTTGCCACTATAGTTATATGATGCTGCCTTTCTCCCCCCAGGGGACCCAAGGCTTGAGATTACAGAACGTGCTGCAGGCTGTCATATTTAGAAGTTATTTACAGTTTATCAGTAGAACCAACAATCATGAACGTTGGTTTTGATGGATAATTTGGTATTACAATATAAGGCCAGCCATAATCCAAAAGGTGGTTTCTGCCTGTACAGGTGAAATAGTATGTCAACAGCAGCAAATTAGCATAAATCAACATGGAACTGGTTGCATTCCTGGATTCCCTCCCCCGCGGTCCTCCCAAAGGCCCCATTTTCACACAGCTGATCGGCGGTTCTAAAATGGCTGCCCGCAGCGTTTTTGCGCCGATTCCTCGCTTACCGAGGCGGCGAAAATGGCGGCCCTATGGAGGATTCCCACTTAGCGGTGAGTTTAACCCCCACAGGAATGCATTAAACTCTGTTTAATGCATTCCTATGGGGTTTTTCTTTCCGTTTAGCAATGTTTCCGGATACCAACGTTAATCCTAGAACGGATTAACGTTGCTATGCGGGCACCACTATATTAGCACACCCTACAAGCTAAGCAATGTACTGTAGTTGTCTGTCATATCTAATCATTTAAATGTTTTCCACTGATGACAGCTCTAGCTCCACTGACTGCAGAATCACTCCCCTAAACTGTATCGGTGTCTGTTTTTCGGTACTAACGAATTTGATGAAACCATGACTTTAATAAAGCATTTTTGCAGAAAAGCCAAGCATTGGAAAAAATTCCACCAATGTCACTGGTTTCATATGGTCAGATTCATAGAAAGATTTTTTTTAAAAAAATTCAAAATTCCCAGTACTCTTCAGCTACAGTACTTTTCACTGGACACAGTAAATCATTTTTATTGCATCAATTAGTCTTGTGTAAAGTGTTCAGTTCTTTAAGATTTTGACATAAGATTTCATTTATTGTATCCCTGCTTTCTACTAATGTGAATTTGAATGAGAAGTTCAAATGGGTTTCAGTTTGTGTATTTGTTTGAACTAGCTGGATAGCTCAGTGGTTTAGGTCTCTGGCTGCAGAGCCAATGGTTGGGAGTTCGATTTCCCCACTGTGCCACTTTGACAGGGGCTGGGCTCGATGATCCACAGGGTCCTTTCCAG